AAAAAATTTTTTTATCTTCCTTTAGTCAGATTCTGATCATCCAGCCATTGAAGCTAGGTCAAATGGGTACTATCTGCAATCTTTATCAATACTAAACATGAATAAAAACAAGACAAAGACAAACATAGACCACCTGGGTGAGGGAAATCATAGATGCCATGATGAATTTCCAAAGTTGTACCTCCTAGAGGTGACCTAGGTCACAGAGAATAAAGAAATCTCCCACAACCACGACCGACTGCAGCAATGGTCACCTCTGCATGCTGGGCTAAGGAAGCAGGGAGGGTACTATTGCAGATAGGAAAGCTGAGAGGCAGCAAACCTTTACAGAAGCAGAAAGCCTCATCTTTCTCCTGTGGGTTTGAACTGCTGATTTTGCAATTAGCAGTCTAGCAGTTACTCTACAACGCCACCAGGCCTCCTTAGGTTAAATATTAAGACTACAAAAAGTCATCTATATTTACCAGATGCCTGTAGAGGGTAGTACTGTTCCTTTGGAGAATCCTATCTGATCTGCTTGTATTCCTCAGCTCCTTGTTCCCATTCTCGTTTTGGTTCAGTCACAGTGGATCCTTGGTATTCTTCCAAAGGACCAAACATGTTCCCACCTCCAGCCTTAACACTGGCTCCTCCTCTTGCCCAGATCTCTTCCTCCAAATATAGGCCAGACTCTGGCTCTTAGTTCATTCAGCTTCTGCTCACATGCCTTCTTATCACTGATCCCTTCCTTGACATACCTTATATAAAACATCATACCCTCACCCCGTTCATTCAGTCATTTAATCAACAAATATTTAGTGAGATTTTACTATGTGCTAGGCATTGATCTAGGCACTGGAGAGGTACCAAGGAACAAAACAGACAAATATTTCTGTCCTCATATTGCTCAAAGTCTATTGGGAGGTAAACTAAAAATATGAAATATAAAACATAAAAGTATATAATATGTTGTTGTTAGGTGCCATCGAGTCAGTACCAACTCATAGTGACCCTATGCACAACAGAACAAAACACTGCCCGGTCCTGGGGCAAACTCACAGTTGTTGCCACACTTGAGCCCACTGATGCTGCCACTTTGCCAATCTATATTGCTGGGGGGTCTTCCTCTTTTTCTCTGACCCTCCACCTTACCAAACATGATATCCTTCTCCAGTGACTAGTTCCTCCTGACAATATGTCTGAAAATGATAAATGCTATGGAAAACATTCAGACCAAGAGGAATTGAAATTTCCATAAGTAATGGTAGGGATTTTCAACTTTAACATATGGTCAATCTGACTTCATTAAGAAGATGACAAATGAGAAATCCCATGAAGAGATGTAGATGAGTCATGGATAATGAGAAAAGTGTTCCACCAGAGGAAGCAGCAAATGCAAGGGCCCTGAACATTTAATTGTGTTCATGAAGAACCTGTACATGTGATTCCAACTCATGACCAGCCAAGTGCGTGCAGAGTAGAACTGTTCTGACGTTTTTGTGACTGGAATCTTTATGGAAGCACATCACCTTTCTTCTGAGACATCTCTTTCAGTTACTAACTTAACAGTCTGTATAACCCAAAGACATCAATAGACAATAAGAGGAGGAGAACTGGAAACTGCAAGCCTGGAAAATGCCCTCAAGACACTTTTCTACCAGGGAAAATTGGTCTGTGACTGGAAGGGGAAGTGTGTGTGTGTTTGGGTCTGTGTATCTAAGATGGGAGAAATAACAACACGTTAGTATGTGGGAGAGAGTAAGCAGAGCACAGAATGGGGGTGAAGTGGTGGGAGAGAAGGAGCTACCGCAGGGGTGTTACTGAGTGAGTGAGACAAGATAAAATCTAGGAAGTAATAAAGTAGGGAAGAGCACAGACAGTAACAACAGGGAAGGTAGTGTATGTTGTTGTTGTTGTTAAGTGCAGTCGAGTTGGGTTCCAACCCATAGCAAGCAGCTGTTGAACTTGAACTGTAGATCTCCTGGTTCAAGTGAACTTTGCAGTACAGCACATTAACCAATAGCACCACACCAGGATGTTGTTAGGTGCTGTCCTGACTCTATGCACAACAGATTGAAACACTACAGGATCCTGTGCTATCCTCACAATTGTTGTTACACATGAGTCCGAATGCTACTGCCATTGTGCCAATCCATCTCGTTGGAGGCCTTCCTCTTTTTTGCTGATCTTCGACTTTAACAAGCATGATGCACTCCAGGGACTATCCCTCCTGATAACATGACGTCAGATGGATCTTGACTGAAAGCAGAGAATACCAGAAAGATGTTTACCTGTGCTTTGACTATGCAAAGGTATTTGCAACAAATAAGTCATTGGTCTTGCAAAATTCTATCATGCGATCTCCAGGGTCATTTCTATCACCAAGGCCATATTTTCTTACTACTGATCCTTTCTCTTTGTTTTAAATCTTTGCTTTCCAATCACCAGTAATT